TGGAAGTATGACTTCACCACATCGGGTTGCATGCTGCCTAACTATGTAGCGTATCTCAAAAAGGGCCGCGAACGCTGAGGTGGCCTCAGGACGCGTCATTGCAGCGCTTCTGACTGGCAGTGACCGCGGGGTTCGTGTCTCGACAGCGCATGATTTTTCGACCTGACTACCTATTCAGTAGGCCACGTTCAAGCCGTGTCTGAGGATAATCTGTAGTGGCTGGTATCTCTTAATCGGTAGTTTTCTTTCCTTCTTTCTTCCTTACCCTATTCTCGTCTCATACTTACACACACAGCACACAGTTACAAGCACTACACATATAGGGAAAACAGTCGGTAGCGTTGAGCTTTCGCGTCTAGGTCTAGGGCGGTGTGCTGCTGGGCGGGAGATACCTGGTGAGGAAAAAACACGCAAGCGTTATGCTCGTCGGCCGCCGGATTTCACCATCCAGCAGGGGAAGAGAGACTAATAACCATAGCAGTTACGCCTTCCGGAAACCCCGAAAAATCAATCAAAATCCGCTCCGTTCGGGGACTCGAATCTGAACCGCAGCCATCAAGTGTTCGACCGTGCAGAGCGAGTTTTCGCGAGCCTGTCAAGCGCGTTTGGCGTCGGCCGTCCGCCGCGGGTTTCCGTCGCGGTGGGAGGCGCACGGAAGTTGTAATTGTTTCCGCGTGTGCCGTCGCCGCTTCTGCGCTCGTCTGCGAGTGGAGTGGGGGTGCGGGGGAGGGGAGCAGGAGCACGTTTTGGGAAGTAGTAGGCCGCTCTCGCCTGCTCCACGCTTTCACCTGTGCCCTGACCCGTTCGCAAAGTGGATCTGCCCAAGGAATATAACTGATAACGAACGGCTGCACCTGCAAATCCTTTTCCCGATTTGTGTGCGCACACACGCTATATTTTCACAGGTAGCCATAGTTGCGAGTCGCGATAATTCAACAGGGGATACCAGTTTGCGGGAATGGATTCCCGAGTGCCTTAAATAAAAGGCAAATATTTCAAATTGAGTTTATTTTTGAAGTTTCCATTGTTTTTGGTTCTGCTTAATCCACAAAATTATTTTAATTATTCGCCAGAGAAATCCAGTAATTGGACAACATTCAAAAAGCATTTCTTCGAATTAGACTTTATCGAATTATGTACTCGGCGATGGGAAAAATAACATGAATATAAATTTAACTTACTCTCATAACTTTTTTTAAACTAATAAAAGATCATTTGAAATAAATATAAGTAAGATTGTAGAAATTGGTTAAAGTGCCCAACATTTAAAAAGAGCTCCCAGAATGCGTAAATAGGACTTACAAAAATTAAAGAGCTACTGATGGCTACAGCAAAGGTTTCAATAGCCCAATTTGCCGCCAACCATGTTGAAGTGAAGAAAAAAACGAAGTAGTTGTGTTTTAAAACTAAGCCGGTATAGAGACAATGCGACCTGTTTTTTGTCGGTTTCTCACAAGTCGGAAGATATTTGTTTTCAATGTAGTAAATTTTCGGGAGGATGCAACAATCATGCATAAAAGATTTTTCAGCTCTCAACAATATGTAGTCCTCATGTTTTTAAACTCGATTAAAATGGAAAGTTGAAAGTTACGATGATGATTTTCTTCTAAAAAATAATCTTCATAAACTGAGTACAACACTAGAAATTGGAAGAAAATTAAGGCTATTCATTTTTTGTGTTTATCTGCCTAGTTGTTTTTTTGCTCAGAAATGCCGTACGGCAGTGTTCTAAAGAAAGGCACCAGAATTTTCCGTCATACTATTTGCTTCAAAATTCAGGCATTATGACACTAATATCTCATTTTACGCTCAATTGAAATATGAGATATTTTGAATCAGAGTATCAATTCATTTTTCCTTCAATATCGAATTTTTTTTAATTGCTACGTAGATTAATAAATATGAAAACAATATCACGAAAAATTAGCATTTTTAATATAAATGTGTTGTTTTGCGATTCCGGGTACCACACACAAACACTCACATATTATTTTCTTCTAGTATGGAGATAAAATTGCCAAGGACGTCCGCTGTGCGACGGTAGTCACGAGGCTTCGCTTCCTGCGATTTAAGCAACAGTTGATATGTTATGCACAGATATGCAAAAGGCTTGCGACACGAATACGTGAGTTTTCTTGCGAGTATGCGATAACCAATCGCGAGAGCATTTTACTTCCCTTTTTGACAGGTTTCATTTAGCAGATATACTCCTAAGCAGGTTATATTTTCGTTAGTTGGTAAATAATGTGTGTTTGTTAGAGAACAACATATTACCATTTGCCGAAAAATGAAATGTTTTGAGAGGAAATTAAAAGCTAATGTACATTTGAGAGAAAAAATGTCTTTTAGATACCCCTGAAAGCGAAAAATATTCTGGCATATGTTGTTAGTCTGTATGTCCTAATTTAAATTTGTATGTAAAATAATGCATTTCCTTTGCAATAGTATGTTAAATATGTTATCCATAGTATGAAATATTAATGTTGTTTATTGGTTTATAAAAACTGCTGAATAGTAGACTGTGAGTATATTTTATAAAAATATAACTAAACACAACAAATTCTCTTAATTCACTCTTTCTTCTTTTTCTGGATCACAAAGGCACTTTCAATTTTGCCTTCGCGTACCATCACCGACCACTAGATTGGAGATTTTTGTCTAGATTAATTGGCGATGGGCATTTGAGCGCTCGACCCTACGAATTTCTGAATGAGGGAAACGGGACAGGAAGTAAGTAAGCGTATAACCTACGATTCATTCATTGCTCTGGCATTCGCCTGGTGCAGCGATCAGGGTAATCATGGAAACCACTGGCAGACCGTCCGCGCCTGCCGACTCGATTCCGACATGACAGCTCACCGATGCTAAACACAAAATGCTAATTTCAGGCATCTAGCGCGAGGAATCGAATCCGCAACCTCCCGCATCAACTGTTACGCTCGAGCCCTAACGTCTCCGTTCTCGAATGTTGCGTTCAACGAATTTATAAAATTGTGTTTATTATTATTTGTTTATCAAAGTTATTGCTCAGTGGTTTTTCGTAAGTGACTTAGTTAAGGCTAAATGGCCACATACAGTTGCTTCAACACACATCACTGACTAGAATACTTTTCTTTGCTTGCGTTTAGAGTGAGCGAAGCTACAAAGCTGCATTATAAAACTTAAAGTTTTTTTTCCTCATTCCAAGTTATCGACATGCATTATTAATTTATCTTCCTTGCTGTACCGAATTACCAAAGGTACGAAGCATGTCGATTTCAATTGATTTAATTCCGATCCGCAAGGACAACGTATAAAATTACAAGACAATTGTTTTTGGAGTGTAATAAAGTATTTCCTGAGGAAGCTAACAAACTGTTTGGTAAAACTTCCGTTTCTGTAATACGTAGGAATTACATTTCAGCACAGAATTAAACCGAAAGCTATTGTCGCAACAACAGGTCGAATAGGCACCGTAATACATACAAGGAACATTGTTTAATCCTATTGTATAAGATCGTCATTCCTCGTAAACAAAGCACAGGGAGTGAACCTCTCCTCTTGTCTTCGAAACGATACACGTTGCCGATATATACTCTCTGCGTTGCGCAACATAGGAGCACTTTTCCGCTGCATTATGGCGAAGTGCCAAGCAAGTCTGTTGTTATGAGGGTGTATGCTTGCATTCGCCTCGCGGAACTATTTTGGCTAGCTGGACAAATGTATGCGTGCGTAACGGATGCGCGTCGAGCTTTTAATAACTCCCGAGAGAATAAGTCGATCGCAAGAACCCTCCCAGCGCCGAAAAGTAGCCCGAGCGAACCCACTTGCTACTGGGCAGCCCAAAAACCACTTCATCGACGATTCTTTGAAAGCTTCGTTGGAGTGTTTATTTACACGATGCAATATAGAATAATTATTCTACAAAACCGTTACAAATAGGAGGAATTAGCCTTGCTTTGCCGACGATAGTTGATATTATTGATAACAGAAGTATAGTCATGTCCGAAAAAGGTCTTCAATATTATGAGAATGCTATTTTAACATAAAAAAGTATATAGCAAGAAAACTCAGTAAATTTCCGAAAAGAAACTTCTTAATCAAGAGCTAGTTAACAAGGAAAGAGGATTCATGAGGGGAAAATCTCCCTTTCCAATTTGACTAATTACAGAATTGAGAAGATTTTTATCAGTGGCCAATATGACATTAGAAGGGTCAATTAGTTGCTGAAATTTGTATGTATTTTCGATTTTTTATCAGAAATTTATTCTGAGATAATAGCTGCAGTTATACCTTTTAACTTTTTGTGATCGTTTTAATTTCTTGTACGCAATTTCACTTCCTTGCTACCGCTATCAGGGTATAGAGAAAGTTAAGTATTGCTGCGCGAAAAAACGGAGAATTTTGGCAAAAGAACTCTTCTTACAGGGCTCTAGAAACGAAAAAGTGGATAAATTCAGTTGCTAAATTAAAAGAGGGAACTCCCTATTGGGGTGTACCCAGAAGCCATTTTTGTGAGTCCTTGATACCGAAAAATAGACTGACGGCAAAATGTCAGTCCGACCGGCCGTTGTCTCTCTTTTTCCGAAGGTAAAAAGTCGTCCGGGAATGTTTGAGGGGAAATAAGCGTCAAAGTCTCATCAAGCAACTTACAGTCCAGTGAGAGTTCGTACTTGTCCATCTGTACTGTGTCGGTTGCCTGTGAATGACGGTTCCCAGTGCATCTGCTCCAGCACTCCGAAAGGAAGGTTTGGGGCTGGAATTGGCACTTTCACATCGGTTGCATGCGGCCTAGCTATGTAGCGTATCTCAAAAAGGCGCGAACGGCTGAGGTGGTTCAGGACGCGTCACTGCAGCGCTTGTGGCTGGCAGGACGTAGGGTTCGTGTCTCGACGGCGGCATGATTTTCGACACTTGCTACCTGCTAGGTAGGCCACATTCAGCCGCTGTCTGGAGGATAATTGTAGCGGCTGGCATCTCTAATAGGGAGTTTTCTTTCCTTCTTCTTCCTTACCCTATTCTCGCCTCATACTTACACACACAGCACACAGTTACAAGCACTACACATATAGGGAAAACAGTCGGGAGCGTAGAGCTTGTCTCATCTAGGTCTAGGGCGGTGTGCTGCTGGCGGGAGATACCTGGGTGAGGAAAAAACACGCAAGTCGTTATGCTCGTCGGCGTCGGACTTCACCATCCAGCAGGGGAAGAGAGACTAATGACCATAGCAGTTGACGCTTCCGGAACCCCGAAATAATCAATCCAAAATCCGCCCCCGTCGGGACTCGAATCTGAACCGCAGCCGATCCAAGTGTTCGACCTGCAGAGCGAGTTTCGCGGGCCTGTCAGCGCGTGGCGTCGGCGTCCGCCGGGTCCCGTCGCGGTGGAGGCGCACGGGAAGTTGTAATTGAGTTCCGCGTGTGCGTCGCGCTTCTTGCGCTCGTCTGCGAGTGGAGTGGGGGGGAGGGGAGCAGGAGCACGTGCTGGGAAGCGGTAGGCCGCTGCTCGCCTGCTCCGCTTCACCTGTGCCCTGACCCGTTCGCCAAAGTGGATCTGCCCAAGGAATATACTGATGTAAACGAACGCCTGCACCTGCCAATCCTTTTCCCGATTTTTGCGCGCACACACGCTATATTTTCACAGGTAGCCATAGTTGTGAGTCGAGATAATTCAACAGGGGATACAAGTTTGCGGGGAATTGATTCCCGAGTGCTTAAATAAAAGGCAAATATTTCAAATTAGTATTTTGGAAGTTTTGTTGTTTTTGGTTCTGTGTAATCCACAAAATTTATTTTAATTATTCGCCCAGAGAAATCCAGTAATTGACAACAATTCAAAAGCATTTCTTCGAATTAGACTTGATCAAATTATGGTACTCGGCGATGGGAAAAATAAATGAATATTAAATTAAACTTACTCTCCATGAACATTTTTAACTAATAAAAGTTACTATTTGAAATATAATTTAAGTAAGATTGTAGAAATTGGTAAAGTGCCCACATTTAAAAAGAGCTCCCAGAATGCGTAAATAGACTACAAAAATTAAAGAGCTACTGATAGGTACAGCAAAGTTTCAATAGGCAATTTGCGCAACCATGTTGAAGTGAAGAAAAAACGAAGTAGGTGTATTTTAACTAAGCCGTATAGAGACAAGCGACTTTTTTTGTCGTTTCTCACAAGTCGAAGATATTTGTTTTCAAATGTAGTAATTTTCTGGAGGATGCAACAATGCATGATAAAAGATTTTTCAGCTCTCAACAATATGTGAGTCCTCATGTTTTAAACTCGTTAAAATGGAAAGTTGAAAGTTACGATGATGATTTTCTTCTAAAATAATCTTCATAACTGGTACAACACTAGAAATTGAAGAAAATTAAAGGTATTCATTTTTTGTGGTTTATCTGCCTTAGTTGTTTTTTGCTTCAGAAATGCCGTACGGCAGTGTTCTAAAAGAAATGCACCAGAAATTTTCCGTCATACTATTTGCTTCAAAATTCAGGCATTATGACACTTATATCTCATTTTAGGCTGAATTGAAATATGAGATATTTGGAATCAGAGTATCAATTCATTTTTCTTCAATATCATTTTTTTAAATTGTACGTAGATTTAATAAATATTGAGAACAATATCACGAAAATAATATTTTTAATAGAAATGTTTGTTTTGCGATTCGCTACACACACAAACACTCACATATTATTTTCTTCTAGTATGAGATAAAATGCAAGGACGTCCGCTGTTGCGACGGTAGTCACGAGCTTCGCTTCCTGCGATTAAGCAACAGTTGATGTGTTTATCACATGATATGCAAAAGGTTGCGACACGAATACGTGAGTTTTCTGCGGAGTATGCGATAACCAAATCGGGAGATTTTACTTCCAGCTTTTGACAGGTTTCATTTAGCAGATATACTCCTAAAGCAGGTTATATTTTCGTAGTTGGTAAAATAATGTGTGTTTGTTAGAGAACAACATATTACCATTTGCCGAAAAATTGAATGTTTTGAGAGAAATTAAAAGCTAATGTACATTTGGAGAGAAAAATGTCTTTTAGATACCCCTGAAAGGAAAAATATTTCTGGCATATTTTGTTAGTCTGTATGTCCTAATTTAAATTATTGTATTTAAATAATGCATTGTTCCTTTGCAATAGTATGTTAAATATGTTATCCATAGTATGAAATATTAATGTGTTATTGGTTTAAAAAAACTCTGAATAGACTGTGATATATTTATAAAAATATAACTAAACACAACAAATTCTCTTAATATGCACTCTTTCTTCTTTTTCTGGATCACAAGCACTTTCAATTTTGCCTTCGCGTACCATCACCGACACTAGATGGAGATTTTGTCTAGATTAATGGCGGATGGGTCATTTGAGCGCTCGACCCTACGAATCTGGAATGAGGGAAACGGGACAGGGAAGTGAAGTAAGGATAACTTACGGATTCATTCATTGCTCTGGCATTCGCCTGGCAGCGATCAGGGTAATCATGGAAACCACTGATCAGACCAGTCCGCCTGCGACTTCGATTCCGACAGTCACCGATGCTAAACACAAAATGCTAATTTCAGACATCTAGCAGGAATCGAACCCGCAACCTCCCAATCACCTGTACGCTCGAGCCCTAACGCTCTCCGTCTCGGATGTTGGTTCAACGAATTTATAAATTGTGTTTATTATTATTTGTTTATCAAAAGTTATGCTAGTGTTTTCGTAAGTGACTTAGTTAAGGCTAAATGGCACATTAACAGTTTGCTTCAACACACATCACTGACTAGGAATACTTTCCTTTGTTGCGTAGAGTGAGCGAAGCTACAAAGCTGCATTATAAACTTAAAGTTTTTTTTTCCTCATTCCAAAGTTATCGACATGCATATTAATTTATCTTCCTTGCTGTACCGAATACCAATGGTACCGAAGCATGTCGATTTCATTGATTTAATTTCCGATCCGCAAGGACAACGTATAAAATACAAGACAATGTTTTGGAGTTAATAAAGTATTCCTGAGGAAGCTAACAAATGTTGGTAAACTTCCGTTTCTTTATACGTAGGAATTACATTTCAGGCACAGAAACGAAGCTATTGTCGCAACAACAGTCGAATAGACCGTAATACATACAAGGAACATTTTAATCCTATTGTAATAAGATCGTCATTCCTCGTAAACAAAGCACAGGGAGTGAACCTCTCCTCTTGATCTTCGAACGATACACGTTGCGATATATACTCTCTGCGTTGCGCAACATAGGAGCACTTCCGTGCATTATGGCGAAGTGCCAAGCAAGTCTTTGTTATGGAGGGTGTATGATGCATTCGCCTCGCGAACTATTTGGCTAGTGGACAATGTATGCGTGGCGTAACGGATGGCGCGTCCGAGCTTTAATAACTCCGAGAGAATAAGTTCGATCGCAAGAACCCTCCCAGCGCCGAAAGTAGCCCGAGCGACCCACTTGCTACTGGGAGCCAAAACACTTCACGCGATTCTTTGAAGCTTCGTTGGATTTATTTCACAGGACTTCGCAGGACGGTCTTAGGGGTCATGAAGACCGGCTCATGATCACCTACGGAAACGGGTTCCTTTGAGAGCATTGTACTAGTTTGTTTCTTCTTCGAGTATTATTTTGATGATTCTTAAATTTAATAGTAAAGATTTAAATATAATCAATGATTTCAAACAACGGATTTTTGGAGTACATAAGTAGCAAATGTGTTCTTTTAAAAATTTAGCTTCAGTTTTTAAATATTTTTTTCATATTACTTCACTGCTGTTGGTGAAAATTACACCCCAGAAGGAATGGTCGGAATCACTGAAAAATCGGTGAATGTGTAGAACAGTGTGTCTAGAAGAAGTGATTAAATTTGTATAGAAATGGCGTGCACGTTCACCTAGCAGCGACCTATTTTGTGTGACAGATCAGGTTAGTGTTACGCCATACATAGCCGGTGTAGAGCCGTCAAACAACGTGGAAACATGCAAGCAGGTGCCAGAATGCCTCGTTGACGGCAGGGAGCGCACTATCAGCATCTGAAAGAGTTCCAACGCGGCAGAATTCTCGGTCTCCGGGAAGCGTGATCGGCATACCGTGACATTGCGGCTCGAACGGGGCGCGCTGCTACGATAGTGATGTATGTGTGGAACCAGTGGGTAGAAGAAGGTCGTATACAACGACGAGCTGGTACAGGACCACACAATGTTACCATAGGGCGAGATGACCGCCATCTTGCCCGCATGGCCGAAACCGACAGAACGGCGTGGTCCGCAGTGTTGACTCGAATTTGGAGTGTTGCAACGGGTGTGTTCATGTGTGCTCCGACGGTTCAACGCCGTCTGAGCTGGACTAGTGGCACGCATACGATTGCGTCGGATTCCATTGTCCAGAAACCACCAGCATCTCAGACAGCAATGGGCACGTGAACGTGTTCACTGGTGTGCTGAGTTTCAAACTGTGGTGTATTCGGACGAGTCCCACTTCAATTTGTGTTACAGCAATGGCCGCGTACGTGTTCGACGCTACCGTGGGAATCACCAACCTGCATTGTTCCGCGCCATAGCGGACAAATGTCTAGTGTGATGGTTTGAGGTGCCATTGATTACAAAAGTGCGATCTTGCCTCATACATATTGAGGGCAATCGAACAGCAACCGCTACGTTAGGAAGGTTTCAGAGCCCGGGGTACTGCCCCTCCTGCAAGCAGCTCCTAAAGCCATATTTCAGCCCGACCGCATGTGTCGATGAATGTGCAAGCTTTCTGCGAAGAACGGCGGGTACCACTGCTTCCCTGGCCCGCACGGTTGCCTGACTTGTCACCCATCGGACATGTCTGGGATGTGATCGATCGGCAACTTGTTCGTTCTGGTCCTCCTGCAGTCAGTATCAATGCTTTGTGGTCACGCATAGAACCCGCATGGAAGTGTGTTCCCCAGCAGCATATCCAGGCGCTCTTTCAATCCATGCCAAGACGATTAGAGGCTCTGATGGCAGCACGTGGCGCTTCACACTAAATTCGTACTAAAATCTCAAGGCCAAAATGCAGGTAAAAATCTGTAATTCTGATCATTTGAATATTGTGATATTCCTAATCTGTGGAATAAATTTCATTGTAATAGTATGTGTCCTTCTTAGTGTTGCAATTTTCAGAAACATAAGTGTAGATTTATTCTAAAGTATCATTTTAATTTTCTTTTCAATATTTCTGATTATTCTCAGAGTCCTTTATTTTTTGAGTCGCAGGCAAGGGTAAAGTATGTCTATAGATTAAGATTGTTTTGGTTTGTTTTGTTAGTCTTATCTGTGAATATAGCTTTCTTTTTGTCATTTATGCTTAATGTGATATAATTTTGTATCTTAATTGGACTACATTGTTTTCGTCCGTTTCAAATATAACTTGTGAAGTTACTACTGATTATATCGTAGAAGACTTCCGCAGTAATTCATTGATGCTGATGGTATTGAATTTTATTCCAGTAATTTTAATGAACGAGCAAAATCAGTGAATTGAAAGTCTACAACAAAATTATTTTGTTATTGAATATCTTCCCAGAATATCTTTTCATCATCTTGAA